TATATTTTTAATGACTTTTGGATAGAAGAACCATCCAGAAGAAGAAAGGATAACGTGGAAGAAAGAACCAGTCTTAGATCTTATGTCAAAAATATTTGTTTACAGTCGCTCATTTTTTAATGTTGCTTCCAAAGTCCAATGATTTTTTTAAGAAATTGTATACCCTTCACCACAAAGGAAACGATATAGACACACATTTCCTTTTGAGAAGATGCATAGAATCCCATTTTTTGTCAGTCCGTCTGTCTGTCTATATTAAATTGTAAACAAAGTACAGGTCTCATTTTTGATTCGAATTGGATAAAATTTGGCACATTTGGATAATTTTTTATAATTCGGCATTCATAAATATTTATACCCTACACAACTATGTTGTCATGGTATTATATCATTGTGCAGCTCCAAGAGTTTGTAACGCCGCGAAATATTGGTCCTAGACCCAACATTAAGTATACCGATCGTCATATCTCGACCAGCTGAATCGATCTAGAGATGTGTGTCCTTCCGTCCGTCTGTCCATTATAATTTGTAAACACGATACAGGCCACAGTTATGGACCAATCTTCACGAAATTTTGCATGTGGGATGGGCTCTACCCAATGAAGATCCCTATTGTTTTTGGAAAAAATCGTCTGATTTTCCGATCGTTCCAGATGCCGCAATTATGGCCTAAACATCGCGAATTTTTGCATGGAGAAGGGTATAGGGCCAAAGAATAAGCATGCCTGTTTTGATAAAGATCGGTCAATATTTAGCGGGTCAGATGGACCCATAGTTTTGTGTGAAAATTGACTATATTTGTATTCTATAGCGTATATATTTACTCTCGAAGGATATAGACCCGAGAAGTTGATAGTATATTCAAGAGGAGTTGTTGGCCTTTAAATTGATACCAATTATATTGGCGTATGTACTCGGATGTGGGAGTTCAATTTTTTTCTGTTATTAGTTTTATTTTTTATCTTTATGATCACGTCATCACCACCATCAGCAGCAAATGACAAAAAATTGAAATAGAAATTCCGCGCCGGGGGAAACACTTCAATGTAAATATGATATAATTTTGTAATAATAAATTGCTCATTTTGTTAAACACTATAATCCAATGTTTGCTACTTATGTTGCCAACACGAGTTTTTTTCTTTTTTTAATTTTGAGAAAAAATATTGAATTTAATTAAAAAATAGAGAAAAGTACCATAAAATAGGCAGGCATCAAATTTTCTCTTGACTACTATTTTAGATCACATTCCGCTGCTGTGGCAAGAGAAATGAGACTTTTGCCATGTGCTTCATGTTGCATAGAAGAAAATGTGCCTTTTTCGATTTTATATGGTAGGCCCGAACACAATGCAGTTTGCCAAAGGGTAAGAGAATACAAATGAATTTCTATTTAATAAAAAATATCCTCAGGTTCCTGAGGAAGTTTTTCCATAGAAAAATATATCCTATGGTTAATAAATATTTTTTCTGTAGATAAAAAATTATCCCCGGGTTCCTGACGAAATTTTCCTATAGATAAAATACCTTAAATTCGGAAGCATTTTTTTGTGCTATAGAAAAAAATACCTCATTTTTTCTACACAAAAAATATAAAAATAAATCTTTATCATTTTCAAAATTTTGAAATTTTTCAGATTTTCCTTAAAATATAATAAAAAATTCAAATATTTTATTTTTCAAAAACAAAATTATATTTATACATATATCATAAGTCATATATCATCATCAATTATTTTCAACAATATATACATACATATATCGTCAACGAAAAACCTGTTGCACTAGCTTCTCTTCTTCTTCTGCTGCTGTCAGTCTCCGAGATAATTTCTAAACAGAGCAACGCCTAATTATTCTGACCCTGAAGTGTATTTTTTCAAGTATTCCGAAATTTAGTTTATTTCAGGGGTGTTTTGGCTGCTGCATGCAAACAGCAATAAATTTTCATATTATAAACATTAAAACACACACACACATACATCTGAATATAGAGATTAAGGTACACGTAGAGAAGGTTTCGGAGTGTCATAGCTAAAAATGTCATTTAAAATATTTATTGTTTATTTCAATAGAATATTGAGACGATGCTAACCCGCAAAAATTTTAGGAAATCAAAAAAAAATGTATAAACAACTATAAACAGTGTCATAGGAAAAGAAAAGAAAAAAATAATAATAAGAAAATATGTTAAGTACAATGTGAATAGATGAGTTTGTGTGTGTGTGTGTGTGTGTGTGTGTCATGCTTCTATGTCAGCATATGTTTTAGCTCACATGCTGATTAGATGCTAAACAAATGCGAACAAAATGCACGTTTTTTATTTACATTTTGAAGATAATCAATTTTATTTTTTTTAGAGGTTTGAAAATCATGTTCATTGTGTTCGTGGTTCGCCAAACCAAAGTTCATTGTTTGGTAATTTAGACGTATGAGTAATAATGTGTGTGGTTGTAAACAATGTTACTCATACGCAACAATTAACTGAGGGGTTAATGCGTTTGGTTCAACAGCGGTAATAATTTTGTGTGACTATGATTTTTTCAACACAACACCGGCGAAATGTTTTTTTTAAGTTCACTAAACCTCGCCATCAACCTGAGTCATTTTTTATAGAAAAAATGGCTCATTTTTTTTCTTAATAAAAAATCATTAGGATCCATTTGAAAAAAAAAATCGCCAGGACCTGAGGATACACAACTACACAATTATGTTGTCAAGGCATTATAGCTGTGTGCAGCCCCAAGAGTTTGTAACGTCTCGAAATATTTATCCTAGACCCATCTTTAAGTATATCGATCGTCATATTTCGACTAGCTGAGTCGATTTAGACATGTGTGTCCGTCCGTCCGTCTGTCCATTATAATTGGTAAACACGATACAGGCCACAGTTATTGACCAATCTTCAAGAAATTTTGCATGTAGGATGGGTTCTGGCCAATGAAGACCTCTATTGGGTAAAGATCGATTAATATTTAGGGGATGAAAGTAATCAAAAACTTTATTTTTGCCTGATTTTCTGATCACTCCAGAGGCCGCAACATCGCGAAATTTTACATGGAGAAGGGGATCGGGCCAAAGAATAAGCATGTTTGTTTTGATGAAGATCTTTCAATATGGACCCTGATTTTTGTGTGAAAAATGACAAAATTTATATTCTATGGCGTATATATTTACTCCTGAAGGACATAGACCCGAGAATTTGATGGTATATCCTAGAGGAGTGGTTGGCCTTAAAATTGATACCAATTATATTGTCCTATGTACTCGGAGGTGGTAGTTACACTTAAATATATAGAGGTTACAACTATCACGAAATATTGCTCCGGCTCGGAATAAAAATCGGCAGGAAGTTAGAGTTCCATGGTAGTTGTGTAGGGTATCGTATGGTCGGCCCCGTCCGACCATACTGCTTTACTCACTGGTTTTAATCTCGAAACAAAAATTTGTCTGAAACCTAAGAACATTTTTTTTTATTTTTAAAGAATAAGTTTGTAAGGAACCCGAGGATATTTTTACATACAAAAAATTTGCAAGGAACCTGAGGACATTTTTTCTATACAAAAAAAAAACGCCAGGAACCTGATGATATTTTTTTCTATGGAAAAAATCGTCGGGAACCTGAAAATATTTTTTCTATAGGAAAAATCGTCAGGAAACTGAGGGGACCTGACCAATTTTTTTGTAGTCCTCACAGAACGTGACGAATTTTTTCTATAAGAAATAGTAGTCCTCAGGGGACCTGACGAATTTTTTTCTATGGAAAAAAGTAGTCGTCAGGAGACCTGACGAATTTTTTTCTATAGAAAAAAAATCATCAGGAACCTGAGGACATTTTTTTCTATAAAAAACATTTTCTTCTATAGAAAAAATATCGTCTGGAATTAGAGACATTTTTTTATATAAAAAACAAAATCGTCAGGAACCAGAGAACATTTTTTTCTATAGAAAAAAAATCGTCAAGAACCTGAGGACATATTTTCTATAGAAAAAAGATTGTCAGGAACATGAGGAAATTTTTTTCTATAGAAAAAAGATCGTCTGGAACCAGAGGAAATTTTTTTCTATAGAAAAAAAATCGTCAGGAACCTGAGAACATTTTTTTCTATAGAAAAAAAATCGTCAAGAACCTGAGGGCATTCTTTTCTGTAGAAAAAAGTCGTCAGGAACCTGAGGACATTTTTTTTTCAGAAAAAAATCGTCAGGAACCTGAGGACATTTTTTTTTCTACAGAAAAAAAATTGTCAGGAACCTGAGGACATTTTTTTCTACAGAAAAAAAATCGTCAGGAACCTGAGGGCACTTTTTTCTATAGAAAAAAAAAATCGTCAGGAACCTGAGGACATTTTTTCTATAGAAAAAAAATCGTCAGGAACCTGAGGAAATTTTTTTCTAAAATTGTTGGGAAACTGAGGAAATTTTTTTCTGTAGAAAAAACTCGTCAGTAACCTGAAGACAGTTTTTCTATAGAATAAAAATCGCCAAGAACCTGAGAACTTTTTTTCTATAGAAAAAAATCGTCAGGAACCTGAGGAAATTTTTTTCTATAGAAAAAAATCGGTAGGAACTTGAGGACATTTTTTCTGTGGAAAAAACTCGTCAGTAACCTGAAGACATTTTTTCTATAGAATAAAAATCGTCAGGAACCTAAGGACATTTTTTAAAGAATAAAAAATTGTCAGGAACCTGAGCACTTTTTTCTATAGAAAAAAATCGTCAGGAACCTGAGGAAATTTTTTCTATAGAAAAACCATGCCTCTTGTTGACCTTGAAAAAAATATTCTTTAAAAAATCCACGCCTTGGATAGGCCTTGAAAAAATATTCTTTAAAAAATCCACGCCTTGGATAGGCCTTGAAAAAATCTTTATTAAAGAATCCACGTCTCTTGTAGGCCTTTTTTGTCTTAGAAGTAATCAATTATCACTTAAATTCAATTCCGAAGATATTTTCTAAGAATTTTCAGTCCCATTTTAATTCACATTTCACAACACAAAATTATTTACCATAATACTGGAGCTGGTCATATTGAATGGTTTTTATTTTCACTTGGCAGCACAGAACAATAGAAAAAAACAAAGTTTCCCGAATTTGAGTTTCAGCACTCGGAATTTGGTTAGGTTACGTTTTGTATGGAGGAGGTTGGTATTTTCCGTTCCGAATTAGTGACAAAACTAAACTGGCTGACTGGATGTGCTTTATGGAGGTAAGCCATAATTTATTTTGGCTAGAATTTCTATGGCGGATACCAAAAGTCAAACAAAAGATCACACACACACCCTCACATGCACACACCAGACTTCGTCGACATACTTGCAAACTAATATACCATATCCATAATTATCAGCAACAACAACAAAATAGAACCCGAACAAAAACAATAACAAGAAATCCATAGCCAACAGATCATATAGTCGGAACTTTTTTTTTGCTTTTGCCCTGCCAGCCAGCCGTCTACATTTCACCAAAATCGCTGTTCGTTCTAGTAATGCCATTCGCGGGTTGGGGTTGTTGTTAGTATTGGTATTTGTTGTTATCCATTATGACGTCGAAAGTATCCACCGAATAGAATATTATTTATTTTCTTGGGTTGACTGACATGACACATCTTGAGAAGTGCGGGTGTTGGAGGTGGGGGAGGTCTTTTGGGGGCATCTAAGTGAAATACCTTCGAAAATAAGAACAATAAACGGCAACTGCAAGAGCCAAATAAAAATAATAAATCTGACCAGAAATAAGACATCCCAGACGGCCAAAATAAATGAATTCTGAATCGCAATCTTGTTTACTTTTGGAAATCCACTATAATAAATATGGTGGTGTTGTTGTTGTGAACATTTCAAAAAAAGAACAAGCAAAAAAAAGTTATGAGGAAATAATTAAAACAAATTCAATTAAAAATGTTGAACACAAGTAGACAGCTTTGAGGAAAAGAAGAAAAAATCGCGAAATTTTTATCCTGTAGAAAAAATTTCATCAGGAACCTGGAAACATGTTTTTTCTACAGAAAACATTACCACCAACCTGGGGGATAATTAAAAAAAAATTACAGGATCCGGATGACATTTTTTGTTAAGAATTTTCTTTAATTAATTTCTATAGAAAAAAAATATTCGAGGGGATAAATGTCCGAAGTTCAACTGAGTATTTACTTAGCTGACTTGTTACAGAACGGTTGTTTCATAAGCCGAGCTTATAAAAGATTTCCAAGCGCGTCCTCCAATTGATAGACCACGTTCCGAGATGTTGTTTGTCTACTTGGTCTTTCCATCTGATTCGTGGCCTTCCCCTTCTACGGGAACCATCAATAGACTTGCTTATATATGCTTTTTGAGTTGGGGCATTCTCATTCATGGCCTAGCCAACGTAGTCGCTGCAGCTCAATACGACTGACTACGTCGTCCGCGTATAAATTGTAGAGCTCGTAATTCATTCGACGCCGATATTCACCATCGACGCAGATAGGCCCGTAGATCTTTCAGAGAATTCTTCTTTTAAACGCCCCAAGAACTGCCTCATCTGCTTGCGCATGTACCCATGCTCAGATCCATATAACAGCGCGGGTAGTATCAGCGTCTTGTAAAGTGTGAGTTTGGTCTGGCAAAAGGTGATCTTGTTTCTAAACTGCTTACTTAGACCATAGTAGCATCGATTGGTCATCACTATCCTTCTCCGAATTTCAAAACTGATGTCATTCGTTTTATTTATGACTGTACCAAGGTAATCTTTAACTACCTCGAAGCTGTAGTTCTCAAGTTCCACAGTTGGTCCGAGTCTACTGGACGTCTTGTGCGTTGATACCATCATCTTGGTCTTCTCGCCGTTTATTGCCAGACCCACTTTGGCAGACTCCTTCTCAATTTGTTCAAATGTGGATATTACCGCTCTCAGTGTTCGACCCATTATGTCGATGTCATCGGCGTAGGCGAATAACATGTGTAGTTTGGTGTACATAGAGCCATTTCTGTTCACCTTTGCGTCTCGTATGACCTTTTCCAGCAGGATGTTAAAAAGATCACACGACAAATTGCCACCATGTATGAATCCACGTTCGGCATTGAAGGTCTCCGATAGGGCCTTTCCGACGTTAACTGCTGACCTTGTGTCACTTAAAGTTATCCTGCATAGCCGTATTAATTATGCAGGAATGCCGAACGTAGACATGGCTTTAAACATCTCTGAACGGATAGGGCTTTCGAATGTGGGTTTATAGTCGACGAATAGATTCTATTTGTCGATGTGTTTTTTGTGGGCTGTTTCCAGGATTTGGCGCAGAGTGAAAATCTGGTCAATGGTGGATTTGCCAGGTCTGAAGCCACATTTGTATGGTCCAATAATGCCATTGACCATTAGATTCAGTCGTTCACACAGTACGCTAGATAGCACTTTATATGCACTTTATATTCCTCTATAGTTGGCACATATCGTCTTGTCTCCTTTTTTGTGCACGGGACACAGTATGCTGTGGTTCCAATCGTTGGGCATACATTCTTCTAGCCAAATTGTACTAATCAGCTGGTGCATGCTCCTGACCAGCATCTGACCACCAGTCTTGAATAGTTCGGCTGGTAACCCATCGGCACTAGCTACTTTATTGTTCTTGAGACGATTAATTGATTTTATGACCTCATGTTGGCTAGGTGGTATACACTCTATACCGTCATCTATTATTGGTTCTGGGGTATCCTCTACACCGCTACTATTTCATACCAGAAGTTTTTCAAAATGCTCCTTCCAGATCCTCAGCAAGCTGTCTGTATCTGTCACCAGGATCCTCAGCACGCTGTCTGTATCTGTCACCAGGTTTTCTTATTCATATCTACAGGAGGATGTGCCTGCACCAAAACCTTCGGTATGGTGTTTTACTCGTTGGTAAAATTTCCGGACTTGATTCTGGCTCCTATACATCTAGATTTGCACACATTCACGTTTTTCTTCTTCTTTTTTCTGAAAATACGTTTCTCCTCTCCAAGGTTAACCTATACGCTGCGTTTTTCACATCAGTAGCATTACGACACTCCTGACGGTACCATAGATTTCTTTTTTTGGTATCCAAGCGTTGTTTTTGCTGCAGTTCGTAGGGAGTGTGCAATTCTTTACCATTGTGCTTCTATACTATTATCGGGACAAGAAGTGCTTTTGTCAAGCAGGTAGGTAAGTTGAGCGAGGTAGGCCTCTGCTACCTGTTGTGTTTGTAGCTTTTCGACGTAGAGTTTCCGTTTTGTATTAGATCGCACCTTTGCTGCAAAATTAAGACGAGTGCGAACCTTGGCTGCTAACCGAATCGATATTCGCTCCTCGGATCGATCGAACGTCTAATACACTGGATGAATGCCTTCCGTCTATCACAACATAGTCAATTTGATTTCTCGTTGCTTGATCAGAGAAGTCCAGGTGCCCTTGTGTATATCGAGATGCTTGAATCTGGTGCTGCTAATTACCATGTTTTTTTGCTGCCGCGAAGTCAATCAACCTCATGCCGTTGTCTGATGTTTCTTCATGGAGGCTGAATTTTCCGACGGTGGGTGGGATATTTTCCCTTCCGATTTTTGCATTAAAATCTCCTAGCAGAATTTTCTTTTTCTTTGCTTTTTCATAGTAGGTTCGGTTTTGCGAGTGTGGGCAACTAACCCGACGCCTCAACCCATTTTTTATAGTTCTTATGGGTGAACTCGCGGAACATATTAGCCCACTATTTCATCGGGTGATGAAAATAGGTACCCAGGTGACACCGAGGGGCCATGATAAGACTGGACTTGGCCATGTTGAAGCTACTTAGAGCCGTTGCTTGGTATCTATCATCCCTTTCGCCACCCTTTAAGCCCTAATAGAGGCGTGAATTTTTTAAAAAATACTTTTTTAAGGCCTAAAAGAGGCGTGGATTTTTTAAAAAATATTTTTTCAAGGCCTAAAAGTGGCGTGGATTTTTTTTAAATATTTTTTCAACTCCTAAAAGAGGCGTGGATTTTTTAAAATATTTTTCAACTCCTAAAAGAGGCGTGGATTTTTTAAAAATATTTTTTTAAGGCCTAAAAGGGGCGTGGATTTTTTAAAAAATATTTTTCAACTCCTAAAAGAGGCGTGGATTTTTTAAAAATATTTTTTTAAGGCCTATTTCTAAATAATGAATGAGTTTTCAATACAAAATTGTTTATTCGAAATTCCAATGCAAATTGACTGTTGACAGAACAGAAACATATAAATGTATATTAGAGTGAATAAATAACAATGCTTTGAGTTCCAATATCGATACCTGTGTTGACAAGATTTTTGTTACTACTGGATATCTGAAATGTAAAATGGCGCCCAACTAAAAAAACACTCAACCACCCTAATATACACCTTTATGATCTATGGATGTTTATCAAATAAATGTCAAACATCGAAAATGTATCTGTTAGCACCTCATCCACATCATCAGCAACCGGAAAATGCTGTGAACGGTACATTGTGTGGATGGGGCGTGATCCATTCCCATTGAAATGTCAAGGTGATTTATGAGCTTCTTGGAAAATTTAAACAAAAAATATTTGTACGACATTTGTAAACAGGTAGGCAAAGAGGATCATGAGATATTTAAAGACTAAATACCGACCTCCTGACAAACTCTTGAGGTAGGGGGTTCCTTTCGTCGACCCTTTTTAATCTGGGGCCTAATAAGATGATGTGAGGAGTCATTATAGAAAATAAGTATTTCAGATTCTTTAATGGAATATTTTGGATCCCCTAACCCCTTTTTCGTCTTCCAATATCGTAGCAATTAATTTCCCCAATTGTCAACGCAAATGCTCTTGAAAGCAAAAAATATCTTTCCTCTGACGTTATTCTCGTACAAACGAAAAGAATGACAACCAGAAGCTGGCTATTATTTTCGAATAGTCCATTATCCACTATTGGGGTTGGAGGGTGGTGGGTGAGGCGTGAGAATTCGTTGAACACCAAAATGAATTGTTTTTTGGTGATTGGTACAAATTGTTTTGTTTTATGCGATGACAACATTAAAGGAGAAATGGACCCGATAAATGTCTCCATTATAAAATATTGGCAGACAAGTGCTAAATTATGTCGTTCTTTTTTTCGACGA